ATCGATCGTGAGGCTAACGATCCTGCAAACGTCGAGCGTCGGAAGGAGGGTATGCACAGACAACTTCTCCGTACGCACATCTGCCCAGAGTACCAGAGATGTAAGAATAGTTCGGGCGACGAGAAGTTCAACTGGTGCTATATACTAGGCCAGAAGCACTACAAGATCAAATCTCACCATATAGAGAAGTGGGCGAAGGCTATTATGACTGGACAGGCTGGCGTTGACAATATGGAACCACCTAAAGAACTGCTTGGTGAGATTCTTCACGACCAGTTTATAGAGGATCAGAAACGCCAGGGCAAGAGAAGTAAGAATATCGTGGAGGTTGATGATAACCAGGAGACGACAGTGATGACGGAAGAGAAGGCTGAAAATGCCGCACTTCCATCATCAGGGTCAAGATCTGGCCTAACCAACGCCAACAGCAACGCCATCGTCAATATATACGGCAACGCGGGGGCGCCAGATCGTCATCTTCAATATCCTAACCCATACGTACAGCTGCCGCCGCCGGCGCCGCCGCCGCCGGCATATTGGCCATATGCGAACATCTCACAGTATTCGTTGCCAACTCTTCCGCCATTGAACCTTCCAAGCACTCGTCAACCAAGTATCGCACTCCCGATTCGTTCGTCCTCGCCAGTGGTACCGGATTCGCCTCGAAAAGCTCTAGATCAAGTGGCCAGCTTCATCAAGTGGTTTATATCCGTCCGCGGCAAGCGATATAACGTCGACGAAGGGTTCAGAAAGAAGCTACAGAAACTGCGATCAGTAGACAGTAGCTTGCGGGCAATTCGCAAGTTACCAGATATTTGGTTTACTGAACAGGGTTTTACTCAAGATCTTACCGAAGATGTCAGGAACTCGATCAAATCCTTCATAGACAACAGCGCCTACTACGGAGGGCAGTCTGACGCCCTCTCCGACGTGGTATCTCACTCTGAACTTCATTCAAACCATCGAGAGTCAGAAGGAGATGTTTATACAAGAATATACGCTGGATTGCCAGGAGGGACGGCGGCGGCGCCAGTTGAAAACTCTGCGGCGCTAGTTTCAGGCGAGTTGGGGTCATCCCGACATATCGACGCCCTAGTGCCACGTCAATCCATCGAGCAAGAGATCCGTGGTACGCCAGTTGAAGTTGGTCGACGTGGTGAGTGTATATAGAGCTGTTTACTGTCGAATATGGCTAACTTTGTAGGCGTTTCGGAACTCTTTGGTTTCGTTTCGTCACCACTGCTGTCAGCGTCGCAGATGCTGCCCACGCAGTTACAGATCGAACAAGACGAAATCGAGCAAGGCGATGAGGACAATCAGATTGAAATCTCGAGTGATACGTCGTCAACAGAGACGTATTACTCGGAGGAGGATAACGAAGAAGAGTGATACAGCAAGAGTGGTGTGAAGTTTGACTGTATGCGCGATTTTTTTGCATGACGTGTTCAACCACGGAAAAGTCTACCCATAGCCGTAGATTCAACACTGCCGCTCTATACGTATAAAAGCAATAGAATTACTGTTATTTTGGATCTGCAAACAATACACTTCGGTCCATCCCGATACTGGTTAGGGGCAGTTGAAGTCTCTGACTATGGTTGAAGTCTCTGATCGTGATGACGTGTCATCATCACAAATCATCGTCACAAGCATCAACAACGCGTTTCAGCCGTTATACAGGCAAAATTGATATGTATACGTAGCTACCGACGAAAACAATGGACGACGGTATATTTTTTGTGTTCTGGTGCGCTTGTGGCTAACCTTTTGGCAATCTTGTTGGCTACAATCATGGATTTGATGATTGACCATCATATGACGACACGATTAAGATCTATTGCGCGCGAACGCACGATGAAAATTTGGATTGCTTGCTGATGTTCAATATTGGCAGCAAATCCTCCCTTTTATAGTTCGATATCGTCAAATATATGCTCTGTCCCATCAAAGTTGACGAACGAATGGCGGAAATGGCCCTCGATCTGGGGTAGACGATACCCAATCTCCATAGCGCAGTCACGTAGATATTCCATGAAATCCCGAGTGTCATTCTCATCGTTGTTCCACTTCGAATACGTCTTCCTGATGTATCGCTTTAGATCGCCGAAGTACTCTTCGATGGGGTTGAAGTCTGGTGAATACGGAGGCAGAAACTCGAGATGGACACCTGATACCCGGCATAAACCCTCGATTTCAGGTATACGATGGCAGGAGAGGTTATCCATAACGATGACAGAGTTTGGCTCTGGAAAACGCCCACATTTCGGGATAAGGCACTCCTGTAGCCAACGAAAGAACCCATCGCCGTCAGTCGTACCATAATACGTAGTCAAGTGTAGGATACCGCTCAACGTGAGGGCTGGCAGGATCTGTACGCGAGAGTTCTGAAACCGATCAATCTCTGCAGTTCGAAACGCAGCAAGCCCTTTCGGCGCCCATCCAGTCCTCCGTATCCCAGTATCCTTATTGACGCCGGATTCGTCGACGAATACCAGCTGGTCGGGGCGATATCGTCGTATACGGTACAAGTACTCGTATCGTAGTTCGTCACTTCGCTGAGCAGCAATAATCTTGGACTTCTTGTTCGTCCAGCCAGCTGAGTTTAACTGTCGACTGATTGCAGAACGACTGATCTGGATCTCGAAGGCTTCAAATAGGAAATCTTGCATCTCTTCAAGAGATAGATCGCTGCGGTACTGCAGTAGTTCAAGAAGCTCTGTACGATGCCATATTTCCATCTTTTGTCGACTCTGGCGGCACCTCTTATATCTCTGCACTTCGCCAGTGATATTACGTCGTGATCTATGTCGTCGAATCGTTCGTTCGGTACAGCCAACGATACTTGCCAGCTCGTGGGTCTTTTGGTCTTCGAATGGCAGTATCATCGCGATCGTCGATAGCTGTAGATTCGATATTCTGGGCGCCATTGTATCGTCGTCGTCGCCCGGCGTCTTTCTCGATGTATCTGATATAATAAACCACGGACATGTACTGACCAGCGGCAAACTGTAAGTAACAGGGCACAATCTATACAGCAGTAGACTCTTGCTCAATATCGTGAACAAGCTGAGCTATCAGGAGAGTCATTAATCCTGTTGACTGCCAAAGCATTTGCTCTGAAGAACCGTATCAAGCCCCTTGGTATGCTTATATATTACTCAGAGCCATACAAACCGTATGCTGAGTAGATATATAAAGTCATACAGCAGGTCTCTTCTTCTGTTCCTCAGCAAATGTCATCTTGATCTCTCATGACGAAAATAGACCTTTTGTTGGTCGAATGGTATGGGGATGAGGTGACTAGCTGGGTTGGCAATGCCTCGATGGGTAGATTGACTGCTACGGAAGCATGAAATACACACCTTATGTCTCTATCGTGTAGTTATACGTTTGAATACTACTGGGACTATAGTGATTGACGGCAATTGAGGTGTTGGTGATGACTTTGACGCGTTTTGCGTGCGATGCAGAGAAATGCGCGTCACAGCGTAAAATTGGCTTTTTTTCATGTTTTTGCATAAGCGGGGAAAAAAAAGGGGGGCGGACGCTGTCAACGCAACGGAGTGTAGATCCCTTCCAAGATCCAGATTCCCGAAGATTGATGAGATGAGATGTTACCCGCTCGGAGCCAGGTCCGAGGCACCGAAGCCGGGACCTCGGAGATATAAGCTGCGTATCCCACCACCCGCACCTCTGATCGAGAGACATTTTTCCCAACCTAAGGCCGGCCGGGCGTTCCCGGTTCTCGCTGCATGTGGGCGCCGTCCATTGGAGCATGCGTTCTCCAAGAACCCATCATCGGCAGCGGCGGCGACAGACAGACAGGTACCAGGAGGAAGGGGGGGGTGGTAGTGAAGCTTTTCCCACGTTCACCATTGACCCTCCCTCCCTTGCCCCCAATGCGCACCCCTGGACCGCCGTCGTCGCCGTAAAATCCAAGTTGCCATGTCGTCCCAACCTTGCCCACATCCGAGAGCCACCACCACCACCAACACTGCGCGTCCCTGTTGCTTCTGTCTGCCTACCTTACCTACCCACCCCTCGGACGGCTTTCTGCTCGCTTCGTCCCATAAAAACCAGCTGCCATCAGCAACAGCGGGCAGCAAACAGCAGCAGCTCTCACCCAGCACCCCCACATGGAGCTTAAAAATACCCCCGAAGTCAGGCCCAGACGCAATGCCAGCGCATGGCTTTACGGAATGTCATTCGCCTCTTATTTGTCTGTCGCCTCGCTCGGCCCACGAGGCGGCGGCGGCGCGCATCTTCGCCCTGCCCACTTTCCCCCGTCAGCCCGCTTGGCTGCTTCTGCTCCTGCTGCTTGCTGCTGCTGATGTGGTTCCTTGCTGCCGGCAGCTAGCTTCATTCTGGGTCCCCGCGTCCCTCCCTCCCCAGTCGGCCCATCGTTGATGTGGTGTTGTGATTGCTGGTGTATCCATACCCAACCCCCGTCCAAGGCATTGACGGCCAGACTGCCAAAAAGAATACACGCAGCTCTGCCCGAAAAGTCGTCCGTGTGCGTGTGAAGGGTGTGTGTGTGTGTGTGTGCGCGCGGGCGCGTGTGTGTACGCCCGTGTCGTGCTATGTGCCTTATGTCTCTCGTCCAAGGGCGGGGTAATAGGCAAGCGTATCGTTTCAAAACACGCATCGCCATGATCAGCCCATGTGCCCGTAAAACTCTCTCGTAGGTGTGTATAACTCGTCGTGGGTTGGAGAGAACCATTCAATTCACCTTTCCCATCTCCACCCGGCCGCTAAAAGCTGCCTCCTGCTTCTGGTGCCTTTTTAAAGTGTCCTACCATCCCCCTTTTCCTCACCTGTTTTTGCCCCTCTCTCACACGCCAAACTCACCCCCTGTCTGTCTCGTGAACAAACGCCAACCCCGACGAAAGCTCCATTGAAGAATTGTATTCTCCGATTTTTGGATGAATTGAAGCTGCGTTCGAAAAGGATCAAGATCCGCCGCCAGCCCTCCCCACCCAGTATATCGACACGAGTTCAACATGCCAAGCAACAAGGGGTACACTTACAAGAGTTCGGGGAGCACCAGCCAGGTAAGAACGGAAATCTCATCTCGGAAACTCTAATCTCGCGATGCCGAAGCTTCGGAAGCTGGAGGTTCTTTTTTGCTTACAACCAGAGGAACACAGGGCAGCCAACATATCCCCCGCGACGCCGGCGGCTCTTCTTCAAAACAAGACGGATACCACCATCCCAACAGCATGTAAGCGCCTTCCCTCCCGCTCAATTGTCTCTCATCACGACAAAACATGGTTTCCGGCCAGGAAGACGGCGAGGCAGCAATGAACCAAGACTGATGGGCAGAAAATTCGCGCAGAAACGGCTCTTACCATTACGCCAATCCCAACAACGGGGGAAAATATGACGGCAACGGCGGGTCGACGTTCACCTCGGCCAGTGGGTACCGGACGTGCTCCGGATACGGAAAGAAGTAAGTGAGATCTTATCTAACGGAGCCTTGTCACTTGAAGAATTTCTTTTTTTGCGGGGGGGCCGATCACACAGGAGGGGCGCGAGGTCCTTGGATTGGGGGAAGAGGGGGGCGTTGGTTTGCTATTTCCGTTTGCCGCCGTGGGGGTTTCTTTTACTCTTCCTCTTGGTTTTTCTTGCCTTGGCTTGACACGACTGAAATGCTGACTTGTTGGTTTGTCAAGTGTTGGTATGAAATGATTTGACGGTCCAATGAACGGGATGATGGTTATGATGATGCATACGGGGGTTTTGGGGGAAACTGGTGTGGCTTCTGTCGGCCTGCTTTCTTTTTCTGGGTTTGGTACAATATGGGAGGGCTGCCTGCTTGCTTTCTTTATTCGCATATACCAGGCGCAAAATATGATTTCTACGTTTGATTTGAAGCTGTTTGGTTCTCAATTTGCGAGGCATTGCGTCGGATTCTCGCTGGAAGGTAGCTCGTCAGTGTTGGAGCATCTGAGGCTGTCCATACATTGGTACTCGTCCGGAACCCCTCACTCTCCAGTTTGAGTACGACTCAGTCAGCAAGCTTACGCGCCTAGCTGACTCCGTGAGTTTCTCACTTGTCGACCACGACTCGAGAGTCATGGTGTTAAGTTGAGCCTCGGCCTGGCGTCTCAACTTGACTTTACAAAGTCTCCGCCGGCACCTATGTTGCTGCCCCAAGCTCGACATACCCACCTGCCCCATAGCTTCAGTGTTCGGTGAGATTGCCAAGACATACTGGGATAGCCCTGCCATGCAAACCTCACGATAGCGTCAAGTCCCTGGCGCGGCGGGGTCCTAACAGACGTCACGCGGCCAAAGCTCCCTTATCACAAGCTGTTTTGAAGATGGGAGCTTCAACCCCTCAATATGCTTTCTTTTTGCAAAGCACTTGCTTGTGAAAGAAATGGCGTGCCGTTGGCTCTTTCACTCAGAGTTGAAGACAGAAGGTTAGGCGCACGGCCTAATTTGCCGTAGCTTCCCTTTGTTTGCAGCTTCCCCTGCAGCAACAGGAAGCTTCCCTGTCTCAGCAATCTAAGATGCGGGGTGAGGTGGAAGGTGAGATGGCTTGTGATCAACCTCCTATTTAATTCCCCCGCCTCTGCAGGTGATCTCAGATAATCTCAGATCAAGTTTCCCTTCATCACACCACTGACCAGAAAGCAAACCAACCTCACATCTAAACTTCCAGACCCAAGACTCTCTGAATAACCGCCAAGATGCCTAGCAACCAGGGATACTCGTACAAGAGCTCCGGCACCAATAACCAAGTTCGTCCTCCCCAATCTCACCTAATTCGACATGTTGACTGACTATGATGGGTTCACAGGGCAACCACTACTGCGCCCGCGACTACGGCAGCAGCGCCTCGAACTCGAACTCGTACCACTACTCCAACACGTGAGTCCCAACTGTACTGACTGCCGGTAGTTTCGGGCTGACTGACGCATGTCGATTAAAACAGTGACGGATCATACTACTACTCCAACCCCAACGGCAGCACCTACTACAACGACGGCCAGGGCGGCTCGACCTACACCTCCTCCAGCGGCGACAAGTCTTCGTCTGGATACGGCGGTTCCAGCAAGAAGTGAGCTAGCTGCCGGAAACCTCATGGCCTAGTAACGGAAGGTGGAGAACCCATGTCACGGTCAGCAGGCCATGTTAGTCGAGGACGATGGAGCAGACAGCTAGATGAGCATGAATTGATAACGCGACACGACTGACGCATAACCCAAATTCCTTGTAACATGACACGGCTTGGTATCTGTGGTAGAAAGTTGGTTCCAAGTCCATGCGAAGAGACAGACTTTGGTTTGGTAGATTATGATAAGTGGTAGGACATTAAGTGATGGTATGACTTTTACCCCAACGCCGCGCATTAACCCATGAGAATCGCTCCGGACCCCTGTAGTAGCCAAAACTAGACATCGAGACCAGAAACGACAACAGCACTAACAAAGTCTTTGGGATGCCCAAAAGTATCCGATACCCCCGTGCCATTCTTCAAGTAGCAGTACTCGCCCGGCGTCTTGATCATAGCCACAGACCGACAGTATCCCCCCTTCGCCACGTCCCCGTTGCCGAGATTAGTGTAGTACGCCTGGTTATACGCCGCGCACAGCGTCATGCACTCGTCAAACGTCGAGACGTACGCCTTGAGGATGTCGTAGATGCCCGGGTTGCCGTAGGCCGCTCCGCCGGGGTAGTTGACCTCGCACAGCTGACGGAAGGTCTGGCCCTGCCCGTTACTAACATCTATAACCGCGCCTATGGCATCGAGCGGAGTGAAGGTCGTCGAGTTGATCTTGGGGCACCCGCCGTCAGTGGGGGCGGGGAGAACGCTGCCGGAGGCTTGCGCGGTTGCTGCTGCGGAGGTTGCGGCTGTCGTGGTTGCCGACGGGTTGGAAGACGCGGAGTCGGCGGTTGAGGTTGGGCTGTTAAAGAGTTAGTTCGGCAAAGATTCGAGCTCAGTTAAAGATGGCTTACTCGGGTGAGGCATTGGCCTTCTGGGCTATCAGACCGCCTGCGACGCCGCCGGCAAGTCCTGCGGCCAGGACAATCACTAGGGCAATGATAAGACCCCAGAAGACGGGCACAGAAAGACCGAGAATTCGGCGCTTGCCAATTGGCGGCGGCGGCGGCGGCGGCGGCGGTGATGTTGACTCAACTGGCACGGCATATAGTTGGCTCTCCAGCCACTTCGCGTCTGAGGTGAGCGTTTGCCCTCCAGGACTTAAAGCCCCTGGGCTCACAATTGAGCTCTGCCCCGCTGGACTCTGAACGTCGTCATGTGGTATGTATGGGATCGGGGCGTTGGACCAGCGTACTGGCGCAGGCTCCAGGCCGGGCTGCTCGTCCTGCAGGGTCTGTTGCTTGCTCTGGGATTTCTCGTCCTCGTTCTTGAGAGTTGTCAAAGACGTTTGCTGCAGCGACTTGGGCGAGTGTGGCGGCGGCGGCGAGGATGACGTTGGGGAGTGTGTCTGGCCCTCATCGTCGGGTCCTCTAAGCTGCCGCTGTCGTTGCACCTGTTGTTCATGCTTCTTCTGATGCCATTCGAGTTGCTGCTGGTGGTACTGAGCCTCGTGGTCGTCCATCTTTTTGCGCGCGAAGCAATTTTGGCTTAAGATATGATCGAAATATGCCGAATTCAAGCCAAGAACACCCAGCTAAGGGGTTGACTTGCAAAAGCAAAGCTAAAGGAATGGCTTTTTGAGGATATTGACGTAACAGAGAAGTGGTTAAGGTGGCAAGGTGTAGTAGATCTGGGTTGGGTATGAGTCTTAAAACAGGGGTCGCCGGGGACGAGACTGTCTCCAACGTCTCCCAGCATCGCGGAATTAAATTACATTTAGGTGCTAGAACGCCGCTTGGCTGGCGCCCGCAGGAGATGCCATGGCCGCGGGATAGCAAGCTCCGTCACGCATATGCCGAAAGAGAAACGGCAAACGCCGTGGAAACCTGAATGGAGCTTTCTTCTTCCATGTTGGTGCTTACTTTTGCATGAATCTGGCCTGGGTCCAGACCCAATTGAGACTGAGCGAGATTGATCCAGCGATGACTATCGCCTGACAAAGAGAAGCGCACAATGCTCGTTGTGAGCCGCAACCTGGTGCGCCGGCGCGAGTCCATGCAGCTTGGTACCGCCCAAAATGGAGAAGAGGTCAGCCCTGGAGGGCGCTAGCACAAGGGGTTTCCTGGAAAGGGCACCATGAGCCACCTTCAGCGCTCTGAGTGGCTGGATCGTCGTGGTGTCAAGGCAGCGCAGGAGGAATGCGAAGAGAGGATGCCCGAGTCTGTGGTTCGGAGATACCAGAAACGTGGTTCATGGTGGTCATGATGGTGTCTGTGCCATTGCTGCGAGAGGAAGACCCTGCCGACGAAGTCAGCCATCTGGTGTATGTTTCGGCCACACGTGTTCAATGGGCCCGCCTCATACTGAGGGCGACGCCTACTATAATACAAGCGTCATGTTCATGATGGAATCACCAGAGGCAAAAGAATGCGGCGCGTCAGGCGATGATTTGCTTTGCTGACGATAAAGTGGCTGAGGCAAGTCGAGGTGTAAAGTGGATGGTTGAAAGAAGAGGTGTCGGCGGGTAGGGGACGTGCTAGAATTCAGGTATCCGATGAAATATGATTGGTTAACTGGTAAACTGTAGTACGTGGATAAATTATTGTGCAGCGGCACGGCCCTCGGCTTGTGCATAAGCCGCACAAGTGGTTCGTCTGATGGGGTCCCCTTCCTTCTTTTGGCAATCCTGATGACTTGCTCGTGTCCATCTCCCGCCGTCCCGAATCCTACGGCCTCGAAAGGATCGACCCCGGCTTCCAGATCTTGTTCCGATGTCGACCACCACCTAAGCGCATACCGCTTTTTTTTTTTGGTTTCTAGGCCCTCGCCCGTCATTAGCAACTCGCGGTGGCTTCAGGTCGATCAACGCACCGTCGGCATCAACGTGGGTCGTCAGAGATGGACCACGCGTTGGGGTCCTCATGTCTTCCTATCTTGACAAGAATAGGCAGCCAGGAACGGCGGGGTCACGGTATTTATTGCCAGCCTCAAGGGGTTCGTTACCCTTCCAGCAGCTCCTGTCGACCTTCTCAGGCGATTTTAACATGTACCCGCCATGAGATCTGGTTTAGCGAGTGTCGTTACTTCGTGCGTCGATGTCGCGAGGCCTTCCTTCGTCAATGGCCAAGCTCGTGCCTGCCTGGGGTATCCGCCAGCTCATGTGTCGCTGCGTGTCCCGAGACCTCGTTGGGGACATAATGACCCTCCGGCTTACCCCAGTGCGACGGCGTGCTCGTGTAGGGCTGCTGACTGAATACCGGCTGTTGGCCGTATCCAGGCTGCTGATAACTCGCCTGCGCCGCCCTTGACCTCTTCTTCTCGCGCATGAGCATGAAGGTCAGCGCGCCAACCGCGATAGCCAACGGCAGACCAACACCCACCCCGATTCCGGCTGCTGCACCTGTTGAGATTCCGTTCTCTACAGCCGGACATGTCGAACTGGTCGCATCACTCGAGGTAGTCTCTGAGGCTCCTGCGCTTCCGCTGGTCACAGACGCTGACGCTGTAGCCGTCGTTGCGCTGTCGGCGAGGTCCGTCGAAAGGGCCACATTCATCACCGCTCTGTATGCTCCTACAGTGAAGTTCTGCTTCGAGCAGTTATCGAGACTGGTACAGGCGAAGACTTTCGAAGCGCATGCCCACACTGCCGCATGACGATTCGGCGCTGCCAAACCGAGTCAGACTTCATCTGCCAGGCTTGTGCCTTTGTTGGAACTGAAACCTGAGGGAATTGACTTACTTGCGCCCACAATACTACTTGTATCGCAGTATTTCGGACATCCCGTCTGCTGGAAGTCTTTGTCCGTGCATCCACCCCGGTACCAAGTGCCTTCGGTTGGCGACAGACAAAGTCCGTTGGTCATGCAGTAATGGTTATTGAAACAGCATGCGGCAGCTTCGTTGCCCGAGGCCACCGAACAAGCCTGCAGTAGAGGTGCCGACGAACCACTCGGCCAGTAGCATGTCTGTGTCTGTCCAGCCGCCAAGGACGCCAGCGGCAGTGTTGCGAGATACCAGCGCGACAGATGCATTTTCACACTGAGTTGGAAAACGATTCGGGCGACGAGAGAGGGGAGGGGAAGAGAATAAGTCAAATCCGGGACAAACACTGATAAATACCGAAGGTACCGCGCCGCGCAGATCACTGTATGAACCACCGACGTTGCTTTTGCGTCGTATTGCAGCTTCTTGGCGGCTGAAGTTACCCCTGTTGCCCGCCTTTCGCAAATGTAAACGACACCAGTTTCTCCCGCTCTGGTTCGAAGGCTTGCGGTCATACAAAACTGGGGTTCGTCGCCGTGGGATTCGCATCCCTGATCGGTCGTCGGCTCATACGGCGAATCACATCGCGATCATGGCAGCTAGACAGTTTCAGCAGCACACCGGCGCCCCTCAAATTGTCCTTACAAGGCGATTCGAAGTAGGCGGGTATCTCAATCTGCTCCTGCAATTCTGCCTTAAATAACTACGCCAACGAAATGATGCAGCGTGGCTTACTACAAGCTCCCGTTGAGGTCTCTCCAACAGCCGATAATGTCGCGGGTAAGGCACACTTTATTTTCAGCCCCCGAGCGCCATCAATTGGGCCAGGGGCCAAGGGGGAATTGCAATGTTCATTCGAGCAATCGTATTTCATATTTTAATCCTCCACTTGCCTACAGCTACGCAGCCTTCTTTACTTTGACTGATTTCCACTCCATGAAGCATGCCGCAATAGCTGCTACCCCTGCCAACGGGATGGCCGCCGTGAAAGTAACCCTCAAAGCATCATTGTAAACCGTCGTCATTCTGGGCAGCGCGCTTGCAGGAACTGCTGTACGGAAAGCCGTGGCGCCAGCTCTAAGAACCACGCGAATGTTGACACCAGGAACCAGATTCTTAGCTGCAGCCCGCAGGAGGTAGTTCTGGAACAACGTGTTACCCACAGAGACGAAGATGGCGCCTCCCAGAGACTGAGAAGCGACGACAGCAGCGGTGCCAACAGAAATGTCATCTGGTGGGAGAACGGCTTGCACCGCAGTCAAGCCCTGCTGGATCGACATGCCAAAGCCTGCAGCCACGAGGATCTCAAAACCTATCCAATAGGCGATCGGTGTGCTTGGAGACAGCAAACGCAGAACGCCACAGCCTGCTGTGCCGATCATGCCGCCCACAACTGCCGGGGGCACGGGGTATCCGACGACCGATACGAAGACCGCCGAGAGCAGGGAGAAGATGCCGATGGTCGCCACGTAGGGTATCATGTCTACGCCGGATATGATGGCGTCCTCGCCGCGGATGGCCTGGAACCACAGCGGCAGGAAATAGGTATGGATCATGAGCGCGCCGTACGTGGAGAAGGCCGCGACGCAGGATGCCGCGACTGTTCGGTGGGTGATGATAGCCGGGGGGATCAACGCGCCGTCCTGCCTCCACCATTGCCATGCGGCGAAAACGATAGCGGTCGCCCCTGATCCTGACAAGAGGCCGATGATTCTGACGCTCGACCATGCTTGGCCACGGTTGGTGAGTTCGAGGGCCATGAACAGCATCACGCAGGCGCCCAAGAGGAAGATGTTGCCGAGGAGGTCGAGTTCCAAAATTCTATCGAAGAACCTTGGCCTAACGCGAGGGGGCTGTCTGGGGTGAAAGAAGATGAGGAAGATGATCATGTTGGCGCCTACGACCGGCAGATTTACGAAGAAGTTCCATCGCCACGTCTGACGCTCCGTCAGTCGCATCTCAGGGAATTAGTAAGATCGGTTCACTTACGACGAGTTCAGTGAAAACACCACCGAGGAGAGGACCGACAGTGGTCCCAATACCGAACCTGCAAGAAGTCAGCAAACATTCGGTCTTGTAGTGGGGAACGTGTCATACATCAGTCCTACGATGGCTGTGTAGGCCGGCCGCAATCTCGAGGGGATCGCGGTTGCAACTACAACGAAGCTACCCGTGAGAATGCCAGCGCTTCCGAATCCAGCCACGGCACGACCTATAATGAGGACCATGGAACTTGGGGACAGGGCGCATATGAGGGATCCGCCAAGAAACATCAACATTGCCAGGAGATACGACCACTTGACCGAGAAGAGCACAAAGATTCTGCCAAAGAGAGGCTGAAAGGCGCAAGCTGTGAGAAGATATGCCGAGCCGTACCATCCAATATCCGACGTGGACTTGAACTCTGAAGTAATTTGAGGAATGGCCTGTTCTTGTCAGCATCGCAACCCTTCTACGCAACAATTCAACTTACGGTCGTGATAATCGTCCTGTGCACCGAGATTATAAATACCACAAGGCAGATACCGATGATGAGGAACACCAACGGCCACCCTTCAACCCATTCCTCCTTCTCGCAAAATATGTCCGCCGCCAGCACTTGAGAGATTCTCTGCTGCGCCCTAAGCGCCTCCAATCTCCTCACCTGCCGCAGATAATCCTCTCCGTCATCCTCGTCAATGTCCGGCTCAAACGGCCTCGTGAAGCGACTAATCCTCGCTCCAGCCTTTCCAGGGTGCCGCTGCTCAGCAACACGCGTGACGATCGACCCTCTCCTCACCGGCGAGCCCAACGAGCCGTTGAGAGACGGATGGCTCGCCAGATGCCGCAGCGATGGCGCAAAGATTGACGAGATGATGGACGCAGTCTCGGAGCGCGGCTCAGAGAAGTTGTTGCCATCGCTCTGCACGTGCCGCGCGATCTGCACGTCTGACATGGCATGCGAGGGAACCCTCTTCACATTCAGCGGGAACGCACGCTGCTCCGAACAACCAGCGGCAGCGGCGGCTTCCGAGGCGGCGGCCGCCTTGGGCGACATTGGTTGCACGCGCGGTGTTATCCGCAGAGAGCCGTGCCGCTGCGGCAAGGAGGACTTGCGCATCGGAACCACCGGGGCGTTCGCCAGCGTGACCGATGAGGCGCGGCGGTGGTGTCCGCAGTGTGAGCAGCGGGACACGGTCGAGGTTGCACTGCCGGTACTCTTTCTCCTGTCTGCCTTGTCGTCGGGGAGGACGACGACGGTTTCTGATTCTCGGCGGCGTCGGTCCTGGAGCGTGTTTGCTTGAGAGAAGCGGGACATCTTCTCCTCCCAGTCCTCCGTGAGGGATTCAGGAAGAATCTCCTCGTCGTCGTCATCGTCGTCGCCGTGGTCGGAGTACGACGATGACCGGGACGGTTTCTCGTCGACATCGTCAAGTTCTGGAGATGAGCCGGAAGTGCGGTCTGTACGCTCGTCTGAGTCCTCTGCGATGATGGAGATGCGAGAGCGCTCAGCGCCCAGGAATTCCGAGGACGGACGCTCGTCTCTCGATCCCAGAGACGGCCGCCGTAGAGACCCGTCGGGTGACTTGCTGCCGTCGTCGCGAGCCATGGTGGATGAGTCTTGAGGCTTTCAGCCACTCTAGCAAGAGGAAATTTTGCGACGAGACAAGCCTTCTACTTGAGGCGAACCGATGAGTTTTGACTTGGATGACGGATGTCAGTGCTAAATGGTGATATGACAGGTCTGTGGGCGTGGTGGTGTGCTCATCCAGCTTAAAGAAACAGAGGCCCTTCCCCTCCTCCACACACAAGCACACTCACACGTCCCCCTCCACAAATCTCACTCGGCAATCGACCTTGTCTCGCCCGTCCGGACGCTAATCGTGACGACCTCATCGTCGGTGGCGCCGCGCGAGGACTGAAGGGAACGTCTTCAGCTGGGCGGGACGGTGTTTGACTTGGTGTCATCGCATTGGTGGCGTTTCGAGATAAGCACCGGCGGGGGGACGAGATCGTCGTTTGTTTGTCTCGGTTCTTGCCCGGGGTCGGGTTTGTGTGTAAGTCAGGTCGGCATGCAGGTCAGCCGGGGCCGGATGACCCTGCAGACGGCGCGGGTCTTTGGTCTCTCTGTTTGCTGCATAGTTCTTCGATGAGATCCCCAAAGGTCTGACGGAGCGATCTCTGATTGGGCGGACGTGCGCCGCAGAGCTAACGGGGGACGAAGCCAGTGGGCGATTTGATGGAGGGATTGGGTTTAGCGTTCACGCGCGGATGGAGGGGGAGGATGCTTCCGGGAAAGGGTCGAGAACCAGTGGGGAGGAAAACGGACTAGTTGATGTCATTGAGTTGAGGGGATGAACAAAGGAGTCCTCGGGGGAGCTAAGGGATGGTGAGGGGTGACTCGGCGAGAGAGGCGCGAGCCGGCGCTGGTAGGGGACTTTGGCAAGTCCAATTGGAAGGACAGGAAGCTGCCTTGGGGTCATTGAGAAAGTTGGAGCTATTCTGGGATTTGAAGAAGGTGGAACTTGATTGTTGACAGAGAAGAATGGATTGATGGTTGAAATCTGGGGTTGGATGGAGGCTTGGATGTGTAAGTACAGGCTCAGATCTCTCTGAAAGAAACACACGGGTGTAGCCGCTGCGAGTGGCTCAAACGAAAATGATTCAACAGATTTGTTACAACACACAAAACATGCATTGTCTTTCTCTTTGGCGGGAAAGGAAACATTTCTGCTAGCCAGGTAGCTGCAGGAATGTAAGCAAGGCACCAGGAACGCCGGCTCGATCCGCGCCAACTCGGCTTCGAGCACAAATCATAGCTCTCTGTCGAAGATCCACTGGATTCACTTCGACTTTGCGCCGGTTCAGGGTCTAATGCAGGTCGGAATACCTAAGAAAACTTCCCCAGGCAATGGCGACAAGACGACGGCCGAGGGCGCCGTGCGGGAGGCCGATGGGAAGTGTACTCGGACCGGGTTCCCGGACGGTACGCACGCACAAGATCGACGGAAACAGCCGGTTCGCGTCGCAGGGAACGGACGAGAATCTGAATGCTATGATGTTCTTCCGCTGCAGAACCGTTGTGCCACCCGAAGTCTTTTCAAAATATTGCTTGGGAGAACAAAAAGTGAGGCTGTGTGGCTGTCCGGCACATTTCGCGAAAAAGGATACGATGAGCCCAAGGCTGCATATGCGCTGCACACACGGACGCAGAGCGGGAGTGACCGTTCCGAAGAACGGCACGGTGTCCCAATGTCGCGATTATCCGGGCCGCGCCTATGAGGATCTC